CCCTTCCAATCCAAACCATTCTATGAAAATAATGCAAACTTGCTACGTAGTCCTGAGTGCTGCACAAGCATGATATTGACTCTTGTTTTGCAATTTAGGCTTGTCTCACTTTATAGGCTGGCTCCAAATCTCAAAGACCCTGTGCCCTGCTAAAGACACTGACAGACAGATGTGAAAGTTGAATTTTAGAAGCCAAACTCTTGGCAATATTGGGCAACTCTCTCTAATCACGTAGAGATACAGATGGCAGCTACCAAGGTGTATGCCAGCTTGTCTTCTGAGTTCAACACAAAACTTTCATTTTGTTTCAGTTTATACAAACTTCTCACCTAATGTGAAATTTAAAACTCAGTCCATAATTACTGTCCTGTACAAATTTCCTCTGAAATGTAAATAGGTACAAGGATGTCTGAAGGCACTTGTAAAAAGAGAAACAGGGTTCTTTTGGTAAAGAAACCAGAAGCTGGGGGATCTATTTTTGACTCTGCTATAAAATTTGGGATTGAACTCCCAATTTAGTCTTTTGCTTCATTTTTCCTATCTTAAAACTTGGGATGTATCCAAATACTTGAGTAAGGAGACTGAAGAACTTAAATTCCCAAGGTGAAATGATTACATAAATACGCGTGAGAACGCATCAGGCAGCTACGCGGTCGTTAGGTACCTAATGGGTTTCTGCTATAGCGTGAGCCACTTCCCGCTGTGTGAGTGGGCTGGAAAACACTCCCCAGCTGATGTGCAATGACTTGATTTACATCCCTGAAGGAGATCTGTTTAATATTCAGCAGCTGAGCACAGATCTTGTGGATGACATCATTTTCATGAACAAGAAGGGCATCTGCTGACTGATACAGATGCGACAGAGTCAAAACAGAGTTGTAGTTTTGAACAATGACCTGGAAACAAACAAAAAATACACACAAATGAGAATCAAACAACTTAAATCTCTTTTTTAGTTTAGAATCCTCTGGCTACTGTCATTTCCTCAGTTATGGTTTAGGAAGTGATTCATTTTCTTTGCCCAAGTGCAGAATGAGGTCAGGAGCTAGCAGAGGTTTTTCATGGCAAGACAGCGAGACCCGTGAAAATCATGTTATCCCTCTCAGTTCATACAAACATGATAGAATAAAATCTGTCTGGGCACTGATTACAGCACTGAGATACTCTCCTACCAGGAGATTCCTAGTTAGCTGATAGAGCTTCTCCTGAAACTCCATTATACTTCAGCACTTACATTATCAAGAATTCTTTTGTTTGGTTGGTTGGTTGTTTTTGTGAAATGACATGTACCAAACACCAGGCACCAGTTCATTAGCTCTGTCACTTGCTGTCCTGTTGAACTTTTTAAAAGTAAAATGTATCTCTCTTCTAGTTTATTTCAGTTGCAGATATTTTATGTTTAAACAGTGGTTATCAACTTGTAGAGTATCTCTGGGAAAAAAACATTTACCTCACCAGTGCCATAGGGCCAGATAACATGGTTTAGTATAAATGACGTTGGAAAAGCATCTCTTAAACACTGAGTGACAAATGCTCCCAAGCCAGACCCTGTGCCACCAGCCATGCTCATTATGGTGAAAAATCCACCGAGTCGATCACATTTCTCTGCTTCTTTTTGCACTAGATTCATAATGACTTCTTTGTGCCTGGGCCCGTGAACAGAATAACTGTTGAATAAAAGACAAAACAGTGAGACATGGCAGGTTATATCTAAATGAAAACAGCAACTAAAGGTGTTCATAAAAGACACTTTTCTTCTTATTATTATTTATATAACCTGGCATTATGTCACTCATTCTGTCTGCAGTAAACAGTCCTCAGCTGTGGCACTTATTGTACAAAACAGCTGTTTATTAAACGTGCTTACTGTTTCCTATACTTAAATATATTCATTCTATTCTAAAATGTTACATTTTCACTGTAAATACCAACTTCACCTTGCAAAAAGCAGTTTAGAAATTTAGCTGCTGAATATATTGCTATTCTAACTTAGAAATAAATCAAGTTAATGTTCCATACTCTGTACCTCGCACAGCTGCAACAGTACCGCTCCTAGAGAGTCTGGCCAGCTCATCAGCCTCGAGAGTTCCCTCAGTGAAGCCTGAAACAAGTTTCGTACCCGTTTGCCCAGTTGTTCCCAGAGCCTTGCTTCTGACAGAAGTGTGACCGCTCACTGTATTTCCAGTAGCCAGACCTGGCAGCGATCGATAAGGTTTGGCTGATCACTTTGGGTTCCATGTCAACAAGCACAGCCCGGGCAACAGGTACTGGAGAGGAATCAAAACAAAACTCAGAGTAACGTGCCAGGGTTAGAACTTTTGGACATAAAACAGTCTTGCACCATGGCCCAAACTGTATTCCTCCCACCACATAAGCCAAACTAGTAACTTCATGGGACTGCACAAGCAGGTACAGAAATGAGGGCCTGGCAATGCCCTGGATTTCTGGAGAACCACCTACAGTTCCAAAGGTGAATCTGAACTCTAGAGACCACAGACCTTTCAGGAAAGAAACCACTTGAAGTGTTTGATTACACCAAATTCAGTCACTCCCAGTCCTCCTCCATGGGATGATCTATCTACAGTGGCAAATGCAGATGTTTGGAAGGGAAGATTATTTATGTAGTTATGCTCAGTTGCCAGTTGTGTTACTGGCAGACTTGCTCTGTGGCTGCGATTTTGCTTCCGTGGTTGTTAGCCATGTTGTGAAAGCAGAGGGTTGTGACAGTTCTTCAAGACTAAAAGGTAAAACTCCTTCTTCAACTGAAAGACCTTTATTATTTCTGCACTCTTATCTGTATTAGGCTGGCAACCAGCCCCGCTGTGGGAAACAAACAGATGCTGTACCTTCAGATGCCTCCTCACTGAAGAAACGTTCTTTGCAAGCATCATGGTAGGATTCATTCTCCTCCTTGGAACACAACCCGTGCGTGCCACGGACATCACCGCAGATGGCATTAAACACCTCGCGACCGATCTGATTACCACACTGCCCAAGCTGGACTGTAACTATTGACATTCTTATTCACTTTGTGTTTAAGCCTAAAAAAAAAAGAGAAGTTTGCCTTTAGTATCTGTGGAAAAGAGGGGAAAAAAAAGTTCTGACAAGATTTCTGATCAGTTTTGCCATTTTTGAGAATTTTTGAGAACCTGTAGAGAAGGAAAAGGCCATGCAACAACCACTGGCTACTTCTGGGGAAAAATGGATTGCCAGCACCTTCTCCTGAATGTCAGAAGAACGCAGATGGCAGTTTACAGGAAATCAGTCTGTTCGCTGTTGCTCTACATTTGGACAGGGATGAAACCAACCATACAGCCAGTAAAGTCTCTTGTTTTTTTGCTTTTGCTTAGTAAGGCAGGATAGAAATAAGTAATAATGACTCCAACAAAGTTACAGGATTAGGCTGTAAAAGCATAATAGGTATAAAAGTACCATATGCCTTTAGAAATGTAAAGCTTGATAAAAAAAATATCAATCTGATTTCCAGTGCTGCACTGCCATGGGCCTGACGCCAAAAATCTGCTGAGGTGACAAAAGGATTCCCTAGAGTGTTCCCCTTGCTTCCACCACAGAGAGCAGAGTTTTTGGTTCAGTACCAGCATGTTTTGACATTTTTCCCCCCCCTGCTCAGCACTTTGCAGTAGCTCTGGTTTCTCCCTTTTCTATTCTCCTTTCACAGAAACAAGGTCAGTTTTTTAAACTCCCTTCATTATCCTGGGCTGTTATTTTTCATTCTGATCCCAGCTGTGCCGGAGCAGTTCTCTGTCTCTCTCTCTCTCATTCTCTGGATGGCTGCCAGCGCCTGCAGCACCGTCCCGCTGCATTCTGCAGGCAGGGCTGTGCCATTGCTGATCCCTGGGCTGGATTTCAGCCCTGCTGCCAGGCGGCACCTCACAGCCTCCGGCCTGCACAGCGAGGCCGAGTGACTCCTCACTGAACAGACCTGGAAACGATCTTCGGGAACGGCTGATGCGCACCCCGCGGGGGTA